CTTAACGCTATCCTATACTTTTTCACGTTTAGACATGAAAGATAAATTTCGGCTTCAAAAGTAAATTTTCAACATGTTATAATACAAGCATTTACTGGAAAGTGATATTTTTCCAAACCATACTTGCAAATAGATATCTTTTTATCTTCTTCCTAGTTCTAGAATAAACTTTAGTCAACATACTGATCGTTCCACACAAAACCAAAAACCTTTGAGAATAGAAACTTTCTAACAGAAGAAACTCAATTTGTGCGTCCATTTTTATCGAATAAGATCGTCATACTGTAACATTTCTTTGGTAACCTGTAAGAGGGCATCTTCAATAATTTTAACCAGTATTTTATAGCTCTGATATTTGTAAATATGTGCATAAGATATTTACCACATTCTCCATACACCATTGTATTCATCGTATTGGATTTAACACCAAGAAATATTTTACATGCTTTCAATTGAACGCTTTCGATAGCGTTGTAATAAGTCAAACCCAATATTTCGGTATGAACTTATATTTTTGTCTCAAGTACATTTAATTGTTTAAAGATAACTATCATAACCTTTTGTGCTTGCAAGCAAGCGTAATTAACATGTGCTGTCCAAGATAAACCATTACTGAAGAACATTCCCAAACAGTTGTACGTACTGGTGCATTCTAGTTCTTTACCCTTATACAACCATTTCTCGTTTTTTGATAAACGTCGCCATTTTTTAAAAACTACTACTTTAGTTTTAGTTTACTGCTCTACCTTATGTAAGCCGTGTCACTGTGTGGTGTTATGTAAATGCAGAAATAAATGCAAAGGTAACTCGCTGACAGAGTGACCTGTTTGCTTAAAGACAAGGAAATAATGTGACTCAGGAAGAATTTCGCGTCAGGCAAAACCATAAATATTCTCAGTCCCAGAAACTAGCCACAACAATGGAAAAAATTCAAGAACAATTCTTTTACGAAAAGGATTGGAAAACCAACAAATTTTATAAACATAAACCCAATCTGTATACGAATACAGTTATTGAGTGACGACTTGTATGGTGAATGCATTTTTAATATGCTTGACATACTGCGAATAAGTGTTGAAGAACATTTATTGATAGTGAGAGATAAAATGTTTTCATATCCATCGGCAATTTGTGTATTGTGCGAATGTTTCGCTGTTAGTTTTAGAGTAAACATATGCAATATATAATAGTCTCTCTGTACTAACTTCTACAATTTAACGTATGAAACTAAGAAGTACAACTTCTTTTGACACACACTTCATTACTTAATGACATTTTATCTGAACACATTGTTAGTTTCTTTGTTAAGGTTCTTTTTGCCGTTCCGGTGAATATTCTCCAACTCTACATACTAAGACGTTGCACCTCATTTAATTACAACAGAGTGTTGGTAAATCATTATGAATAAAAGTTACAAACTGTTTATGCCACTGTTATCATTGGTAGTCACATGTGCAAATGAGATATGACGAATGAAACCAGTTCCAGGCAGATCTACCTGGTCTGGTGCAATATCCTGATACACCTGTTGCTGTAAACAAATGCATGGCCACTCCTGGAGGGTCACAGGCCAAAACAAGAGCATGCCCCGTGCTAAATAGCTAACACTTAATACCTAACATATTAGACTTGTGTCGATTTTTGAAAATACTAATTCATATGGACTATCTCAGCCCTGTATAACAATTAGTAATTTCAAACTAGCACCATGCTGCCAGCGATACAAGTACTCGATAGTGCACCAGCTTCCCGTGTCCTTCCAGAAGACGAGTATGTTGTGAAACATACAAGTTTTTTAGAGAAGGTGGAGCCTAATAATTGCATTGCAGTAGGCGATGATGTTGTTTGGAAATCGCCCACGTCGCCTGGTATTACACTCCATGCTGGTTCCTATGACATGGATGAGGACAGAGTTAACAGCAAGATTACAGATGGCGCTGATGATTACACATCGCGCAAGGGACATAGAGAACGCATCAAGTCTGTGGACGATGCTGGACACCAGGGAGGACATGACCGTTACTGGCAGACTGTCTCTGTCATCAGCTGCTTTATGTCTATTATGTATAACAATGCAATGGTGTCCTCCTACGGTGTGCTCTACATCTATATCAAGGATTCCCTGGCTGTGACCGAGTACCAGCTGTCTTGGATCGGATCTCTCATGAATGGCTTCTTCGGGATAGCTTGTAAGTTGTTGGGTTTTTTTCAAATATACAATAGATTGTTTGATTTGTAGGTATGCTTGTTTGTAACAATTCATTCAACAATATTCCAGGTATATGACGACGGGCTTTATATAATCGAGTCTGGACCAGATAATCCAGATATTTACATCATGAACATCGGTCTAGGCAATTGGGATACGATGCATGCTTTAAACAAGTCCGCGAGCCAGACCACCTGGTCTCGTTAGTCGCCTTACGACAAAAATGGGTTGCTGACGAGCAATTCATTGTTTCGTAATATTCCTTAGAACAGCATGTGCGTCTTTAGATGACTTGCTATGTGGATCTCCTGATGAGCTGGTATGTGGATCTCCTGATGAGCTGGTATGTGGATCTTCAGATGAGCTGGTATGTGGATCTTCAGATGAGCTGGTATGTGGATCTTCAGATGAGCTGGTGGGCGCTGGTTTGTTGTTACTCTGCGGTCAGTAAAGAGAGCAACATCGGTGAATATCTTGTGAAACCAATTCTTTCTATGAAGAACTCTGGACATGCACTGAAAGTTCCGGCCATGGAGACGACCTCGGCCGAGTGGAGCGTTAAGGACTGATCGTCGCCGATATTTGAGCAAGAGAAACCGCTGATCATCATTTGTTACTGTCTTACCAGACCTAACTCAACGGCAGGTCTGGACTGTGGGGGTTGTGTGACGTCTGTGGGGTTACTGGCTGCAGTCAACTGAAGGGAGGGACGTGAAGGTGCCTCCAGCTGCACGGTCACGTCACACCATTTCATCACTGTACTGGGTGAGCACAGGAGTTGCAAGCTCATCTCTTGCGATGAACCTGACGGGGTGGCTGTCTCAGGGGAAAAATTATCAATTCTTTCTTTATATTAAATTTGTGGCATTCAAGGAGCGATGGTTGACTTTTACTGTCCCTGTTTTGTATCGAAAACACCTTCACAGTGTGAAAGAAATACCAGTTAGGATGTATAAAGAGTACTGTCTTAAAGTTTATTACCCACATGGTGAAACATTGCCAGAGTCATATATATCATATGTGCGCATGTGCACATATAACTTTTGCCTAGCAACCATTGTTTCAGTATTTCGACGTCTGTGATGTCATTAGACAATTGAACGTGACGTCAATGAAGAGGGCCGTCACACTTGCTTACCGTGTTTTACTGCACAAATGTACATGAATAAAATGGATAATAAAGAAACTATTACACTCGAGCAAGTGTGTCATATGACTTATATGAAACTCGTGCAAAATTATCTATTGTCCTCACTCTCGCTCGGGCAATACAAAATTTCACACTCGTTTCGTATAAGTCGTATGACACACTTGCTCGTGTAATAATCTCTATAAATGTTATCATTAATGAATGTTGTTTCAGCTGTGCTGACGTCAGTGTTAGTGGAGAGAGTCGGCTGTCGTTATACGCACCTCCTTGGAGGCATTATACTTGCCTTCTCTATGATAGCCAGCAGTCAGACAAGTGATATTTACATTCTCTACCTATCAGTCGGAATCCTGGCAGGTTTGTTGGAAGATTTAGTTTACAAACAATCATTACATAGTGTATAGTTTGAGATATTGAATTACCCATATCGTGTTTACAAACAATCATTACATAGAGTATAGTGTATAGTTTGAGATATTGAATTACCCATATCGTGTTTACAAACAATCATTACATAGAGTATAGTGTATAGTTGGAGATATTGAATTACCCATATCGTGTTTACAAACAATCATTACATAGAGTATAGTGTATAGTTGGAGATATTGAATTACCCATATCGTGTTTACAAACAATCATTATATAGTGCATAGTGTATAGTTAGAGATATTGAATTACCCATATCGTGTTTACAAACAATCATTATATAGTGCATAGTGTATAGTTTGAGATATTGAATTTCCATATCGTGTTTACAAACAAGAATTATATAGTGCATAGTGTATAGTTTGAGATATTGAATTACCCATATCGTGTTTACAAACAATCATTACATAGAGTATAGTGTATAGTTTGAGATATTGAATTACCCATATCGTGTTTACAAACAATCATTACATAGTGTATAGTGTATAGTTGGAGATATTGAATTACCCATATCGTGTTTACAAACAATCATTACATAGTGTATAGTGTATAGTTGGAGATATTGAATTACCCATATCGTGTTTACAAACAATCATTACATAGTGTATAGTGTATAGTTTGAGATATTGAATTACCCATGATATTAAAGAATCCACGAAGTTACACATTGAAGAATGTTACCTGCCTCAGTAAGTCAACCTAACATTAAGTATAGAACGTCAAACTGACTGACGAGGTAATTGTGACGGGGGACATTTTCAAAGTTCTCATGGCAATTGCAGATGTTAGTTATCGTAGATCAATTGACCGATCATTGATAGGTGGTAATATAGATATGTCGTACCGATTTTGAAGTAAATGTATAACTTGCTGTGAAAAATCACTCTCTCACTAGACACAGTGTCGACAATTTGGATGTTTTGATCATGCCTTTGTTTTGTTCGCGAGTAGTATGCATCATTTCAAGTATACAGTCTCATGGAACACGTACGAACGCCTCCATGTGCCGCTATTACACTTATTAGTTTCGACCCCGTCCTCTTGTCCAATGAGAGAGCCGCATATCGTGCATACTGTATACACTTCTAAGTACATTCCTTCCACATACTCTGATTTATGTAATCCCCTCGCTACCACACATATCTAACCAGACTTCTGTTTTACCATCAGGAATTGGTTCATCCCTCACGTATGTCGCCAGCATGATCCATCTCAGCGGACAATTTTCACGATGGAGACCGCTTGCTTTAGGTGTAGCAAGTATTGGAGGGGCAGTGGGCAGTCTGACTTGGCCGCCGCTCATGTCCGGTCTGGCCGATGTGTTTGGATGGCGAGGTGCACTACTGATAAACGGTGCCCTGTTTTTACACATGCTGCCGTGTGCACTGCTCATCAAATTCTCACCTAAACCACCTGGCAAGAATGGTATGTTATTCTACGTCATTTCAAGTAACACAACAGAACTAGTTGATAACCACTGATAACTAGATTGTCTTGTCCAGACTCGATTATTTACAGACCGCTGACGTTGTGTGATGGCGATTAGGTGCTTAACTCTAAGTGTGTGGGTTCGAATCCCGGATGGAACTCAATCACCAAAAGAACTAGAATGTGTACTTTACTGAGAAAGTGTTTTCCTAAATATAACATATGTAACGCCGACATATAGCTGGACTATTGCTGAGTGTGGCGTTAAACACCAACCAACCATTAGATAACCACAGGACACAGTTTATATTTATAAGCATCCAACATTTGGAGTGCTATCAAGACAAGACCATGGTATGAAATTATGAACTGTTTTAAAACTTATAACGTTCTATAGCGTTGTTTCAACAATATTACTTCATCACTGTCCTGTACGCAGGGTTGGATTGTTGCTATGCATTTACGGATTTATATCAAATTGCAGATTGGACCAGGAGTGACAGCTACAAGCAACTCGCGGTATCTCTATGGCGGAAATTCAGAGAACAGCTACACATAGTCAAAGTTCCGGGCTTCATGAGTTTCTGCCTCTCCTACCTACTCATTGGACTTGGCGTAGTTTCTTTCCCAACATTCATTCCGGAGTATGTGATGACGTCACTTCCTGGTCAGACCGCTTCAGAAGTTGCACTGGTTGTCTCCCTTATTGGAGCGGGGAATATTTTCGGCAGAGCCTTGTTCAGTGTGTTGTGCATGCTGAGCCCAAAATCTGCTCTCTATTTACATTTGATCCTTACAAGTCTGTCTGGGTTAACGTGTTTTGCAGTGGTCTTATGTCAAAACATGGCCGACTTCTATGTTACAGCAGTGTTCTATGGAACAGCATACGGTGAGTTAAATATTAACATGTCATCTAAATATATCGCATGTTCTTCTCTCCACTATACACCATCAATCAAACATAACTCACTTTTATATGATGAGAACGAAAAATGAAATGTTATTGTAAATGCTTTGAAAACCAAAATTCCGAGTAATAGCATGATAACTGTAACATATTGTACTCTGATTAAAACTAAAACTTAACTGAAATTGAGATTTGTAAGAATTTACTTGCAATCTGAGAAGAATGCACAAAAACGTGAACATCAACAATGCCTGAAAGTATGGTCACCATAACTTCGCCACAAATCTGATTGTCACATAATTCTCGAATAATGCTCGTCGAGAACACCTGCAAAATTCCTGATGCGGAAGATACTCACTCAATTACTCTCGAATAATGATTGTTCTGATTGTATGAAGCACCACTGGTGACCGCCACAGTAGATGGTGTAGGCACAACTCGCAGGGATAGCATCTGTCTGTCCCCTTCTCAAGCGTGGAATTTTCAGCAGTTCCTCATGAAGTTCCTGCGTCAGTTCATGTAGATGTTGAACAGGAGGATCTCCAGCTCGAACCCTCGTCCATATAGCTCATAGGATGTTCGATTAGATCCATCTCGAGGCCCTTTGTGGGCCATGCTAATGTTTCCATGTCGTTTTTCTGCAAATGAGTGATGACGACTCGAGAACTGTATCAAACGTTGTCATCCGTGGATATCGGACGACAGGAAAGGTGATGGTTATCAGAATGTGGCACGACGATGGTATCCAGTACTAACCGTTGATAACGACGACCGCTGAGTGTCCAAGGTACTGCAATAAGATCCAACGTCCAGTCATACGAAACGCAACCCCACACTGTCACTGAACAAACAGTTCAGTGGCATGGATCATCTCCTGCCTCGTTACGACGTCTCCATACGCGACAACGGCCGTCGGTAACGTTTAAAAAGACTAATGAGACCAATGAACCTTACGTCAGGTTCTGAAGTTGGGCTTTCTGTACCACGCCTTAACTGTGCCTCTCTCTGTGCATACCCGTGAAGATCCGGGTTAGAATACTGGTCTTCAGTAACCCATGCTTCTCGTAAGAGGCGACTAACGGGATCGGGTGATCAGGATCGCTGACTTAGTTGACACCTGTCATCGGTTTCCAATTTGCGCAGATCGATGCTCATGCTGTTGATAACTGGATTGTCTGGTCCAGACTCGATTATTTACAGACCGACGCCATATAGCTTGAATATTGCTGAGTGCGGCGTAAAACTAAACTCACTCACTCACTCTCTGTGTGCAATGCACATCCGATCGTACGACATACCTTCAGTCCAGCACTACGTAACGTCCTTCTGATGGCATGGGTGGAGGGTCGGACTTGCCAGATGAATCAGGATTCGTCCATCACGGTCATTGGTCTTGCTCTGTCTTCCAGGTCATGGACAATCCATCACTTCAACCGTGTCAGCTTGCTTCCTCACAAGTTCAAGCACCGTGTGACATTTCAGGCTGCTTGCCAGTAACTTGCCATTGTGTATTTTCTGAAAGTCTACGCCCTGCCATGTCAAAACTGCACATACTGCAACAAAGGAACTGATACCCAAATGTACAAATGTAAAATGTTGTGTGAACACGTGCTTTGAATGTGCATCCCAATCGCCTATTTGGGCCAAGTGTTTTACAACTTCCGTTAGATTCAGGTAGTTCTTATGCTCATATGTATATGTCGGATATCTAACCCTTAAAGACGGGAGACTTAGACATATCTGTAGTTCTCTGTATGAGTTCATTTCACATAGTTTAAGATGTTCAAACATGTTCTAAGGAATGTATTCTTACAGGTGGAACATCTGTAGTCTGGTGTCCCATGTTGATTATTGTGTTCGACCTGGAAAATCTGCCCAAACTCCTAGGATGTGTATTGCTGATGCAGGGGATCGGGGCAATTTGTGGACCGCCATTTCAAAGTAAGTGGAAACAGATTATTCCTGACCAAGTGGTAACAACATTCTTGCAATCTGATGATATGTAAATGTCAGCTTGCTTACTGTGCAAACACTGAATAATATGTCTCAGAAAAGATGCATTACCTATCACATCAATCGGAAACTTTTAATGCAAACCACTAACATACGTAAGTGCACATAAGTTACGCATATCATTTTGTTTAGGGTAGAACCCAGCAACCGTTTCAAAACCAACTGGCTGTAAGATAAATGGTATCTGTCACACACTCAAGTGGTCATCTGTATTTCCTCTTCCAGGTTATGTTGCAGATGTGATGGCACTGAAAGATTGGATCTTTTATACCACTGGGGTTTTCTTCATCAGTAGCATCCTGGTAGTTGTCCCGTTCCTGGTGAAGAAACAACTAGTGTCACGACGACGTCCGAGGAAGACCGATGATATCCGAGTGACAGGAATATCAAACCAGGCCGCAGATCTCGGATCTACAGAGACCCGATGTCGGCAGCTGACCTGATATCCCCAGTTGATCCGTTACCTGTCAATTACCTACAACAACCTACAATTTCTAGCTCATGTCGTTACGTCTTAGTTTAATAAGACTCCATTTAAAATATTTCATGTATGTTAACTATGCAGAGTTATGAGTTATTTTATCCTGGTGTTAACAGTGTTTTAGTCGTATCGCTGAGTGGCAGTTTAAAGCAGGAGGGAGACCTCATCAACACATTGATGCAGCCAGTCAGCAGGGGTTTGGTGCTGACAAACTAAAGATCATTATCGGGATAAACACTGGATTCGAACCCATAGACATCGATCATAGACCACCTGCTGGAGCCTGTCTACACAACCTCTATGACTTGGCCCCCCGTAGCTTTGTTAGCTTTGTCCTCTGTTAGCGCTATGAAAATTTCACCCAGGGAATGGAGTTTAGCGCATAAAAATGTACTTATTAGCTTCACCAAGTTGATAGTTAACGTGGAGATATTCATGTTCGCTTCCTACAATCTGCCAGTGATCTGTGTAGGCCACGGGTTGGGGACACTTGTATCGTTCGTTTGTTGTTTAACGCCGCACTCAGCAATATTCCAGCTATATGGAGGCGGTCTGTAAATAATCGAGTCTGGACCAGACAATCCAGTTATCAACGGAATGATCATCGACCTGCGCAACTGACATGTGTCAACCAAGTCAGCGAGCCTGACCACCCGATCCTGTTAGCCGCCTTTTACGACAAGCATGGATTACTGGAGACCAGTTCTAACGCGGATCTTCATGGGTTATTTTGTAATATTAGTCAGAATATACTACGAAGAGCTAATAATTAAGGTCACACTTTGATTTATGAAAGTCGAAAGCTGAGAATTAAGCAGACGGCAGCAGGTGATATATTATCGGCCAAGCATTTAAGGTTATAAGAATGTTTGGGCTGGTGATTGTGATTTTGTATAGTTTATACTACCTCGAAATTAATCACGATTTAAAATAGTTATTGAAACCGAAGAAAATGTAAGGTTGACCATTTTGTGAGACTACGTCTTATTTGTACAGAGCTTTCAGTGAATGTGGAAACGAGGGTGGCACAAAATCTGCTATCGTCTGGTTTCCACAGCCTTTGCTGTGCTGCACACACGAAGGGCTCATAAAATCTCTATGTGTCTCAACTACACAACCACTCCAATCAACACAGCTGAAGTACTGTCGGAAATAGAAAAAATAATTTTGTTCACATATATATCTACAATTTATGTAGTTGATATGTGAAAGTGTGAAATATCTGGTAAACTCTCGGCCTAACTACAGTCTCAGTGGTAGGGAGATAGGAAACGTAATAAATGGACTTTACTGAGGAGAGGTTAGTGCAGAAATGAGCAATGCGGTTCTTTTCTAAGACCAAAGCGACGTATTTGGAACAGACCATGGCTTTATGCAAATTAGTGTGCGATGATATTGTGTTACAAAGGACACTTTTTAAATGCCCATATTGAAATTAGTCTTATCAAAAGCAAAACCAGGACGGGTGTCGCAGACAGTGGTTGGGGTCGGGCTGGGGGATAGAGACATCAGCTAAGATAAGATAATCCTTTAGGGGAATTAAACTGGGGAAGTAAACGGCATGTCATAATAATATCCAGTCCTGTCGATCTTCGCAATCGGGTGGTCAGCTGATGGCTGATTTAAACTTTTCTATGGGTATCATACTCTTTTACATATCTTAACATAAACTTTATGAAAGAAAGACATATTCAACACACAAGAAAAAACATAAAATATGTATGAGATTACTCATGGTACTTTCACTTTGGTCTAGTGCATTCCAAAGATACGGGCGATGAAAGCGAAATGTCGTAGTACACTGTAGACAGGACAAGTATATTTCTCCTACAACAACGATGATCATTAATGGAACAATTAGTAAACAATGTGTAGCGTGTAAGACATACAACATGATCCTTAGATAGGACTGTGTACAGTAGCAATGGCTGGCTTGAACCCAGGGCTGTGAAATCTTAATACTTATATTCACAATTATTGAAGGTCATTCACTGGAATATTGATTGCCTGGCATCAGTCTTTGATTTGATCATTCATTAACATGAGCGTTTTATTTTAAATATTTGATGACAGTTTTGGAAGTTAAAATATCATATTAATCCCACAGCAAGACCTGGACACGACTTGTGTGACATAATCGTTTATCCAGAGTATTCATTCTTTTTTGTGTTACGATAATACACTGGACCCATTCCCAGTCACTAGAAGTCGTATAAATTAAATCAAATATAACTGTTCTTACATGATTGAAAGAAACAGCCATATCAAGTCATGACTACCTGAGCTAGCATTGACTTGCGGTGGTCGGACTGCTGTACCAGTGTTCTAGAAATAGGTAATATTATCTGGTTCTCCGCTCGTGACAAGCTGAAGACCGTCAGTATTACAGTACTGTACCTTCATGGCTGGTGCACACAGCGTGGTATGTCTGTAAATGTAGATTTACACTGAACTAGACAGCAGGTAAATACAGGAACCATGAGGCATCTATCGACTCCGGTAATGTATTGTTCAATAGCAACAGGATTACAACTGATAAGAATATTTGATGAGTTGGCCAATTACAGAACGTCCCAGTTCAGTGTCAGCTCCATCAGACCATATCCCTGACAACCACAGCACCAAAGCCCTCACTACCATCCTCAAATACGTCAAACACTCCAAGAAGCTATCCACAGTTGACTCCAACCATCCATCAACCGTGATCAGAGCGTTTACATACCTCAAGTTTGCAATCATCCCATAAATATCACATCAACTTGTCTAACAGTTGTCATGAATAATATGAATTCTTAAGCTAGTAAATTTACATGCTGACAATTTACAACTAAAGATTCGTACCATATACTTTATGGACTTTATTTGTAACAGTTGAAATTTAATTAAAGCATTCATCAATTAGATAAATCAAAGCATTGCTTATGGACTTGATTAATTATAGTACTGCTTATCAACAAGATGAATTAAAACATTGCTCATCATCTACATAAATTAAAGCATTGATAATCAACTAGATAATTCAAAGCACTGCCTGTCAACTAGATAAACCAAAGCACTGCTTGTCAACTAGATATATCAAAGCATTGCTTATGAACTAGATACGTTAAAGAATTGCTCACCGACTAGATAAATCAAAACATTGCTCATGAACTAGATAAATCAAAGCATTGCTAATCAACTACATAAACTGAAGCATTGCTCATCAACTAGATAAATCAAACGCTGCTTATCAACCAGATAAATCAAAGCATTGTTTATCAACTAGATAAATCAAAGCATTGCTCATCAGCTAGATAAATCAAAGCATTGCTCACCAGCTAGATAAATCAAAGCATTGTCTATCAACTAGATATATCAAAGCATTGCTCATCAGCTAGATAAATCAAAGCATTGCTCATCAGTTAGATAAATCAAAGCATTGCTCACCAACTAGATCAATCAAAGCATTGTTCAACTAGATAAATCAAAGCATTGTTCATCAACTAGACAAAAATCAAAACATTGCTGAAATAGATCAATTAAAGCATTGTTTATCAGCTAGATATATCAAAGCATTGCTCATCAACCAGATACATCAAAGCATTGTTTATCAACTAGATATATCAAAACATTGCTGAAATAGAAAAATTAAAGCATTGTTTATCAGCTAGATAAATCAAAGCATTGCTTATCAACTAAATATACTGAGTCAAAAAAGAAACTTCACATTCTTTCTTCAGGGCACTATAAAAGAACAAGAGATGGTAAGATGGTTAAATTGTTATTATTTCATTGCTGAGATCTGTGTGATGTACTCGATACACTGACAGTGCCATAATCAGTTCCATTAGGCTACACCGCCGTTCCAAAACAAGGGTATACAGAATGTCAAGTCACAAGAATAAAAATGCGAAATTTCTCAGTTCAATATCGTGTATGGCCGCCCCGCGCATTCACCACTGCCAAACACCGTCTTCTCATCGACTGCCTAATGCTTGTGAACACGTGGTTGGGGATTCTGCGCCATTGCTCTTGCAAGGCAGCGCCAAGTTCCTGCAAATTCTGAGGTTGGTTCCTCAGACCACGAAGCCTTCTCCCAAGTGCATCCCAAACGTTCTCTATTGGATTAAGGTCAGGGGACCTCGATGGCCAGTCCATGACGTCGATTCCAGCGTTTTGAAGGAAATTTCGTGTCAACATCGCGGTATGCGGCCGAGCATTATCATGCTGGAACTGTAGACCTGGGCCATGAGCCGCCATGAAAGGAACGAGTTCAGGGGTGAGCACCTGGTCGCGGTAAGCAGCAGCTGTGAGGTTTCCACGGATGACCAGAAGTCGGGAACGGTTGTTCCCACAGAAAGCACCCCACACCATGCAACTTCCGCCCCCAAATCTGTCGACTTCCTGTACACAACATTGGGCATACCGTTCACGACGTCGTCTCCAGACTCTATGCCTGCCGTCCGCGAATCTGAGGGTAAACCTGGATTCATCGCTAAAGACGACTCGTTTCCAGTCTCTCTGGGTCCATCGGAGGTGACGTTGGGCCCACAGCAGACGTTGACGTTGATGAAACGGCGTCAATATTGGCCCACGATATGGACGTCGAGAATGGAGATTGGCAGCCGGCAACCGATTTCGAATGGTCTGTGAGGACAGTCGACCTCTAAACATCTCAGCCCTGGTTCGTGTAGCCGGCAGAAATCTGTCACGTAGGTGACGTAGGACGATTTGACGGTCTTCTGCTCGTGACGTCACACGTGGACGACCCGACCTTGGGCGATCAGAAGTGGTGCCAGTTTGTTGTAGACGACCTCGCAAGTCATACACAGTACGACGGCTGCATCCCATTGCTCTTGCGACGTCAATTACTGATCTTCCCGCTTGCAACATGCCAACGGCACGTTCACGTTGCACATTTGACAATCGTGGCATTTCAAGTACCGTTAGAACTGTGGTTTAAAAGTGGTTTTTCAATTCTTGAGGCCAATGCAAACACGTGCATATGAAGAAAACTTCGATGTGAAGATCACGTGATCGACTGCACGTGCAAAACCTGATTTGGCACTAACGTCATTTGCACGACGAATGGATGGGTTT